ACCTTTACACCCTGCAATGTTCGTCGGTAGGGAACCGCTTTTAGTTATAAAATCATTGCTAGCGTTTTTAAAAGAAATTCATTGTTTTCATATCATATACCCGGGCATTCCGTAGCACGACCTCTCCTGAGAGGTTTTCGCTGCGGTGGCTACACAAGAAAACACTTGCCTCACGGCCCTTGGACGCAAGGGTATGAACGAGTGAGGCACTTGTGCTAATGCCATTCATGTCCACCATCGTCTTTTATTATCACCAACTTTGTTCATCTATTCGCACCACACACACCTTTCACGGCATGGTCATGATTTTATTACTTGTATGTTTTTACCCGCCTTACCGCGAGGAATTTTATGGCCCTTATACAGCCGCTAATCACAAATCATCGTCCACATTCTTTGTCCCTGAACTGGCGCTCTTTAGCCGTCAAATGGCCCTTGCGCCAAAAAACACCATATATCATCATCATCTTCATGGGTTGACTATAATTCAAAAGCTAATTCTTCGCTGCGTGGTAACTAGAGGGGCAGACTGGGCTGCGCACGCAGGAGCCTCAAGAAGGAGTGACTCGACTAGTTGTTGACAGTTTCAAGACTAGTTTATTGAAGGTGACTAGAAGGTTAGAAAAGAAAGAGATAGGTAAAATAGCAAGAAAGTAAGATCGCATCCGGTCCCACGAAGGCTACAGTGGGAAAGGTGCAGGTGAAACCCCCTTTGCTCCTGTTGGCATTGTGTTGGCGGCTCTCCTTTCAACCCGTGAAATTGGGCGGTGAAGATGAACTTCTTTGACGGCGTCTGTACGGTGGGAGGCAGGACGAAGCCATAGGAATGTTTATCCGCTATGTCAGCACTAGCAGATGTAGTGAAAGCATGTGACATCATCACTATTTATGTGATAATCTAAACGGCATCGCCACCTGCATTTTCTTCTTGTATGTTTTCTTGGTTATGAAACGTCCTCTTGCAACAGGCGGGTTGATTTTTATATTCTGAAGGAGTAATTCATCAATGAGGAGTACTTTATTAATAAGAGAAAAGGGGTTCTTTTTAGTGCCCCTTTAATAATGAAAAACTCTCAGCACTACAATTAGTAAAAATAAGTTGAGTCTTCGAGCTGTAGTAAAAAGTGGTTAATCTAGATTCGCTTGAAATATAACAAGACTTTCTCGAATGATAAAGTGTTCAATTACTGAGGTTGTTGAGAAAATAGTAAACAGGTGCCTGCTGTATAAACACACCTTTATTTACTAAATGAATTGGCAGACCCTGTTTGTAGTAATGTATTGTACAAAGAAAGTGTGCGAGCTCCTATTCTAGTCATCTCGCCACTTTCACATTACTGTGACTAGCAGTAATAGTGACTAGCAGTAATAGTGTGAATAGTGAATTTCAGGTTAGAAGTGAATTCAAAGCGTATAGTGCTCTTGGTCTAATAATTTCAAATTGAACTTGAATAGTATATATCTCATAATATGAAGAAAATTGGCATATTTTTCGTTACCCAACTACCTGCACAATATCTTTTAGAACTGTAACAAGGCTTGTGCAAATACCGTATTTTTGCGCGTATAACCCGCCCCTGCATATAATCCGCACCCCCCACTTTCAGCTCACCGAGAAAGAAAAAAAAAATCCTCGCGTATTGCCCGCACATTTGATATACAGGAAAGGCTGTACAAAAGCTACTGCTCAAGCAACATAGCACATATGTAGACAGAAAAAGCTTTATTTAGCAAGCAGAATGCGCTGTCTGCAAGGCCAGTCACAATTCACTCACTGTCGCTGCTCTCGCTAGAGCTATCACTTGAGCCGCAGTCCTCACTATTATGCACAAGGTCATCTTTGGTTCCATCCATGTTGTTTGTGATGCAGCATTTCTTGAAACTTTTTCGCACCATCTCACCTGGAATGGCCTTCCATGCCTCGGCAATCCACTTGCAGCATAGGGCAATATCAGGTCTTCGGACTCGTCCTGTCGGCGTCAAGTCGTAGCAGCCTTCGGCCATCCACTCGGCGTAATAGCGCTTGACATGCGCTTTGAAAGGCTTGTTAAGCGACACATCTAGAGGCTGCAACATTGACGTCATTCCACCGGGTATAACAACTAAGTCGGTGCCGTTGCGTGAAAGGTGGTCCTTCACTTCCTCAGTTGTGTGGCCGCGAAACGAGTCAAGAACGAGCATGGACCTCTTTGCGAGCATCGCACCGGGCTTCTTCTCCCATACCGTCTTGATCCAGTCTACGAACAAGTCACTGTTCGTCCACGCGTTCTCGTGTGCGCGCACCACCACACCGGCAGGCAAATGAACCTTTGGTAGAGTTTTCCTTTTCAAGGTGACGTACGATCGCAGTTGCGTGCCGTCGGCGAGGGCACAAAGCAAGACTGATGCGCAGTTTCGTGTTCTTGCCGGTCAGCACGCTCACCGAACTGCTGCCCGTCTTCTCAATCGTTGTGTCCAACGGCATTTCAAAATGAACAGGAGTTTCATCCGCATTGCCGATTTGCGAAAAAATGTAATTGTGCTGATTTTGCAGGCCAATTACATGTCTCTGGTACTTGAGCAGCTTCTCCTCATAAGAAGCCGGCAAGCGTTGACATATTGTAGTCCGCCGTCTGATTGAGAGCCCTTGCCGCTTCATAAAGCGGTGCAGCCATCCGCGGCTCGCACGGAACTCGGTAGGCCTAGCTCCCTTGAAAGTCGCCGCGCTTCCACTTGTGCCAGCTCGGTCGATACGGTGTGACCCCTGCTTCTCACATCTTCGATGAACTTTACTAGCTCCGCCTCCAGCTCAGGGTAGGCACCGGTCTTGGGGCCACGAAATGACCTACGGTCGCGGTGCGCGGCTTGTAGGCTCTCTTTCTTCTTTCTCCACAGTCGCACGCAGGACTCATCCACATCGTGCCGTCTTCCCGCTTCGCAATTTCTGAATTCCTCGGCGATGGCGATGATCTTAAGCTTTTGCTGTGCCGTGAAGGCCTGCCGCCGTGCGCTACTCATGGTGACAGAACAGATCGACTTAGGCTTGGCGAACGGGTCGAGATGTAGAGAACCGGCGGTATCAGCGAGGTAAAGAGCGCTCACACTCGGCGACAACTAGACAGCACTACCCCTTCTAGTACACTGTAAGAGCACCCTGGAAACAACAGAACCGAAATGCATGCCTGCTACCGCGTCAAAAAGTAGTACATTAATTTACTGATAATATCTCTATAGGCACTATAATATCTCATTTGCCTTGCTGAAATAAATACTGCTTTATTAATTATGGAACTTACTTTATTTGTTATGGAACTTTCTTAGACAGCACCACCTTTTCGGCAAGCCCTTTCCAAAAGTAAACATGGCGTCCGTGACGTAGGGACATGTGGAGGGTCACTGAGCGGCCACGAACGTCCAAAAAATATACTTGTGGTGTGAAAGTGAGGTTTTACACTGAACAACCGAATTGTCTCTCCCCAAATGTTTTTATAAACGCTTCAACGATGTAAGCAAGCGATACCAAAATCGGCCGCAAGCTGCCGTGCTACTTGCGGAGCAACACGAATTTGCGGAAACTGCCTCCGTAGCCTTCGCTACACTGTTAAGGGGCTTCACAGCACAACACGCATTGCTGTGAAGCAGCACTATAGGAAAAACCCCGCGTATTATTTGCACCTCCTCTTTGCCACTGAAATTTTTGGGTTTTTGGTGCGGGTTATACGTGCAAAAATACGGTAAAATCCTTATTGGTTCAAAGGAGTGGAAACAACTTCAAAGGCGCTGTGCAACACTTTTCGAACATGGTCAGAAAACGCTGCTAATCGGTAGTAGATGCTGCCGAGAACACGCGAGCCAAATAATATACCGCAGAATGTGGCCTGGAATTCACAATAGATTATCAAAGTCAGCAAAAAACAATATCAGCAAAAACAAGTCAGCAAAACAACAAAAACGGCAACGTGACAGGACGTCAGCAGTCATTGGCACGCAGCCAACTACTGAGCAGGGCATCCCCGACGTGGGCACGTGTCATGGCAGAATGGAAAGAAAGTGTTTGGCTAGGAGCTCCCTTTCCCTAGTGGTAAAGTAGTCAGGCACCACTTGAAGGCCTTTGTTATCAAAGTCAGCAAAAAATTTATTTTCTCTTGACTAGGGATGGAATACGCTCAAAAATCACTTATAGAAGGCTATCTATCAGCCACTGGCTGATTTGAACAAGGCGCGCTAAGTCATTGCAAGAATTGCCATTAGAGGCCGCGACTTGTCTGGGCGTGCACCCGCGATCACACTGAAAAATGAAAAAGCCACGTATTTGAAAGAAAAAAAGTGCTCAAGGTCACAAGGCGCGCTTGATGTCTTTTCTTTGCCCGTGTCATCCGTGCCTGCTTAGCTCTCATCACTTTCGTCGGGACGAGAAAAGAGGGAATGCAATCGCAGCATGCGACAAATTTTTGCAGCTCCACTCGTACTAGACTGTTTACTCAAATTTTTGCAGGGTGGTAGTTGTGAGGCCACGAGTTCTTTTAGTGAATCCATTGCATGGTTACATGGAAAAGGGTTTCAGGGCCCTTTTAAGTAGTAGCAGGATTTGAGCTTTGGTACAGTGCAAGTGATAACCTGAAACTACATCAAGTTTTGAAATTTACTGTACATTATAGCATATGAAGCATTTAACAAGCTTTTAAACTTAATAAGTGGTGAATCGACGTGATCATGTTATGTTCATTTAACTTTAAAGTGGGACTTCACGGCAGGGCGAATTTTTTTTTTTTTGATGAGGCGTTTTTACTGTTTAGCATTCCTTCACTGCAGTGAAAGAACCTTTGCAGGGTTTATATGCTGACTGGTATACCTCTATTCGTTCATTTAAAATACTTCGAAATTTTCAACAATTTAAATTCGAATCAAAGCAAACTCCTATACACCAGTATTTGTTCGAATATACAAAGCATTCGAATATTCGCATAAGCCTAGTGTAACTGTTTCAAGTTAAGTCGCTTAGTGCATCGGCATCTTTTCAGGTCCCTGCGTGAGCGTGTGGCACCCTGCGTGCTTCTGAGTGGGTCCCGTGGTTCTGGCAAGCGCACTGCCTTGACTGCTTTGACACGTTCGCTTGGCTTGCACCACTACCAGGTCAGTATAGTGAGGACGTACGCGTACGTCTTGAAACGCGATGAATACTTCTAATATAGCTGTTGGCACGTGCAATAGCTCGAGATAAGCCTGTCACAACGATTCTGGTTTCCAAAGGGGATAGATTTTAATGAAAGAATTCTAGTTGAAATCTTGCCCACATGGCCTAAACTGAATATGGTGCAAATGAAAGTGCGCGCTTCATGTAGTCCTTAAGTTTTAGAGAGTGTTGTAGTACTGTCGGCCGCAGATGTTTGTGGGATCTGCAGGGCATGGCAGAGCGACGAAATACTGCATCACCTTGTGATGGGGCGAGCATTGACACTGTCGGCCCTCAGCAATTAACGACAGCACGTTTTTAAGACAATGCGCCACTGCTGGATCTAATCGAAAAAGCCGCAATCGATAACCTCAACAGCTCCTGTGTCACGGTAGGTGACAACCGTATCCTCGCTGAATTCAGGTCCTCTACTATGCTGTGCAGTAAATATTAGCAAAAGTTTGGCATATGGTGCTTGACCAACATCTGCATGTTGCACTGCAGGTCAACTGTCAGCAGCTTCTTGGTGACACGGCGGCAGCAGCAGAAACACGGATCAGGCATGCCTTGATGAAAGGTAATTGCCAAGCGGAGAAAATATACTACATTCATAAAAGTGTTGGTGTTAGTGAGTTTGGACAGGTCAACCACAGCTCAGACTTCTCCAACACAGCCTCATGTGATGTGCAAATTTAAATGAAGGGTATCAGGAATTGGGCCCAAGTATGAAGATTCGGTTTTCACTTTTTGTTATTTTCTTTCATTTGGACATGCTTTTAGAATATCTTGGACTCGATTGTGGCCATAGAAGTGGCATTTAGTATGTGTACGCTTGTACCAGGCCCGCAGCCCGGAATTTTTTTCGAGTGGGGGAGAGGGGCATTTGTTGAAGATTTTGACAAACACTTATTTTTAATATTCATTCAGGTAAAACACCCCCAACATCCGAATCTGGGGTGGGGAAGCCAGGCCCTCCAGGGTTACCCTCCCCCCCTGGTTACGGGCCTGGCCTGTACACCTCACAGCAAAAATTTGCCGGATGCAAAAATTTAGGAAAACCAATACTCCCACTTTGTCTAGGAACATAGCCTCTAATCAGGTATCCCAGCTTGTAGTTGTGCACTAGGTTTAAGGTACCATTCGCTAACAGAGAAAAAATGCCCTGTAGCTGTAGAACAAATGCCCTGCAAAGTTCTGGTTATACATTTTGCAAAAGTGGTAAAGGTAACTGTACTCTAAATTTGATAACTGAGCTCCATCAGCTGCATTTAATACCCTGTAGTGCGTTGTGCTTTTCGTGCTTATTCAGTTAAACTTTCTCAGTAACCATACCAGATCACTTTGTCAGGTCCGTAGTTGTATAAGTCAAACTTCACTTGGACGTCAATACAATGAACACGAATATAACGAAATATCTTATGTAAGGAACTAAATGGAAGATAGTCTTACAATACGTGCCAGTGTTAGGAATAACTTGTATAACGAATTTTAGATATAACGGACTTATTTTCTTGTAAGATGCAAGCTTGTTATTAATGAGGTTCGAGTGTAAATGAACTGATACCATGACTAATGCATTAGAGCAGCGTGCTAATAAGTACTTGTCACGTGGCTCCCCCTACAGCACAACTGTACACACCCTGCCTACTGCAACTGTCTAACGTGGAGGTGTTCAGCGTGGACAGGGATGTTGGCTCCGGCGGTGGTGAGCACGTGTTTTCTCTATTTGCTTGTGTTCGTTGAAGTCCCTGCAGGCTTTTCTTATAGGGAGCAACAGCCAATTTTTATGGTGCCTATTTCCTTTAGTGCAATGGGAAGCTTGCAGGTGTTAAAGTGAATTGGACTGCTTAATTATTTGTCCAAATATTTGAAGCATTTGAGTTTTTGCCTGTGTCAATAAATTTGTGAGTGCAGTGTGGTAACAAGATTGTGTCGGTGTGCAGATCCCCGGGTGGTCCGCTGCCTCGGTGACACGCTGCGTGCGTTGAACGGCGAATTGGACGAACCCCCTGTGGCTGTGGTGGCCACCACGGCTGCCGACCCTGACACCCTTCACCCAGACTTGGCCCCCCTGTTCCTGCACTCGATTGAAATCCCAGTGAGTTAGAGCACTAGTAAACAACCACGAGGTCGAAAAATTGTACTAAAGTAGAATAATGCGTACTTTTGCTGTGAGCGTGCTGCCACAAGAATTTTGAAATTTCGTGCTGTGACAAGGAAGTTACAGAGGTTAGAGCATTAGTTTCAGCTGGTTTCGAATTTTTGCGCGCCCTCTTAACTCTTTGCTTTCAAAAAGGGAAAGGTGTAGCTCATCGTTGGGGCTTCGCCCACTTCGGCAACGTGACAGGACGTCAGCAGTCATTGGCACGCAGCCAACTACTGAGCAGGGCATCCCCGACGTGGGCACGTGTCATGGCATAATGGAAAAAAAGTGTTTGGCTAGGAGCTCCCTTCCCCTAGTGGTAAAGTAGTCAGGCACCACTTGAAGGCCTTTGTTCCCGCAATACCGCTTCTCCCGGTAGTTTAGGGCCGAGTGAAACGGCAGAGAGCAGCATGGAAAAATGAAAAGTCGTAATGCAAGCTGCACCACCGCAGGGCCAAAGCACCGTTTCTTTGGGCGGAGGACCAATAAGTGAGCTCAGTAGCGTGTCATGTTTCTGTTGGTGTGCGTATGAGGGGGATCAATCAGGCACGAGAATTGTTTTTCGAAAAAGAGGGTCTGTGCGGCTCGCAGCACTGTAGTATTTAGGAAATGTAATCGCCACTCTCTAATGTACGAATTGCCGAGCTTGTCCAAAGGCTGTGAAAAAAAAAATTCAGAGCCTGTTTATTGGTCCTTAAAACGGAAACTGCCGGAAATTGTCTCTGTTCACTGATCTCAAAGTCTTCAGTTCCTATGTGCTCTCATTACAACTTAAAATAGGTACCGACTGTATTTTTTTGAAAGTGAGTCAACTCTGTCATACAAACCTCTTGTATATAGGCACAGCTCTGACCAACTGTGAAGCTCGGGAAATGTGTATAAGGTATTTTATTTCGATATAAAAGTCAATTTTCTTATTGGCACACCTACCAACATCGGCACTAGCTTAATGTCAAGCTACAGTACTAATTCTGGTGTGACTTCATAATCAGTCTGGCTAGTGGTGATGGCATCAGATACCAAATTTATGAAATAGCTGCTTGTGCATCATCGCCACAGTTAAGAGTGTCCTTGGGAACATCAGAATATCTTGCGCAAGTGCATGAAAAAAAGGTTATACTGCGTTTTGACATCAGGGTACAACAGGAACCAAACCTATCTTTTAAAAACATACCTTATTTACTTGATTCTACCGCGCCCTCGATTGTAACACGCACCCAGTTTCCACGATGAAAAAAAAAAAAAAAAGTAAGACATCGATTGCAACGCGCACCCATTTTTCTCGTTGGCCCGCACGATCACACGACTCGGGAAAACGACTCCTTTCGCGAGCGTCTTCCATTTAAATATGAGGTACGGGGTAAGCTTGGGCCTATCTGACGTGCAACGGAGCATTGCTGTCACTCTAGTTTTACCGTTACCCGATGTCAGCACGCGAACTTGCTTCACCCCTTCTTCTCGACGGTTGTGGTGCCAGGCATGTCGAAGTAAAGAGGCGTCTGATCGGGATTCCCGATTTGCCCAAGCAGGTAGCCGTTGTTGTGCTGCAACTTTTGTCATATGCCCGTTCGCCTTTGGAGGGAAAAGCCTTCCCTCTTCATAAAGTTAGTTAGCCAGCACCTGCTCGCTTTAAACTGGCTCCGCATTAGCCCTTTTTCTAAGGCTAACTGCATAACCTGCACTTGGAGCAGTTCTGTCGTCACGGGCCGCTCACTGCTCAATCATATACTCGCCGAGCAGCTCTTCAATTTGCGGAAACCGAACCTGCTGTGGTCCACTGAAGCCTTTGCGTGAATGTTTGCTGTCGACAATATTCTGCTTTTGTTTCCGCCAGTCCCGCACGCACGTTTCGGGAACTCCGAACGACCGCGATGCGGCCCGATTTCCGTTCGTTTCGGCACACGCGATATTTCTTTTAAAAGCGGCATCGGGGTGCACTCGTCGAGTTTTTGGAGTCGGCCCTTCCATGCCTTCGATGCTAATGCACTACAAGATGACGAACTCCTCAGCACACGTACGAAGTGCCGCACATAGGAAACACATGGGCAGAAATGGCCGACACGCCATGCCGACGCACGTAGGGGGCAGCCATTTCGGAAATGCCGATGGCAATAGAATGACCCTATTCATTTTTTTTTTCGTACTCGATTCCAACGCACATGCGATTTATGAACTCGCTTAACCAGAAAAAAGGTGCGCGTTAGATTCGAGTAATTACGGTACTGCAATTACTTTTTCACGGTGCACTCACGGTTAGGTGTACACTTTCTAGGATCTTGAGGGCTTGGACATTTATTCGATTCAACAAAGCGACAACTGAAAATATTTGTTAAGCACATGGCCTGAGGATCTTTTTTTATTGGTCGAAGGCTTTACGAGGAATAACTTTTTGTGACTTTGCTAAACAAAACTCATTCTATTTTCTCACTGATTTCAATTAATAACGCTGTGTTTAGGTAAACTTCAGTGAGGGACTGTTCTCAGGCATTGTTTCTTGTGAGGCGTCCCACGTGTTCTCCATGAGCTGACGCATCATCGTGGAATGAAAACTCTGAGAATCCTCGTCCAGAGTTTTGTGATTGTAGAGATCAGTATCGATATGTTTCTCAAGACCTAATGTCAAATTCACATCAGATACATATATGAGATGTGGGAAATGCATTCTCTCTTTTTTTTTTTTTTCAAATACCAATGTTAGGAGACATATAGCAATCTTAGGTGACATTTTTAACAACCCCCCCCCCCCCCTCCTTTTGCCTTTCTCCACTATATCTTAATGGCCCCACTCTTAGTGTAACTAAATTTTGCGACTACACCCCTCTATCAAGGTAAGTTTGACACCCCGGCTTTTTAAGGGGACACTGAAGTGAAAATATGATTCTGCTTAGGTTGACGAGTTGTACTCTTAAAAGTCTGATGATCATTTCGTCATCGTAGATCTAAATAGAGCAGAAAACTTAGGGTCAAAGTTTGGTTTTTGAATTTTGTGCTGAGATCTCCGCGCATGACAGCAGGAATTTCAAAGCTCCTTTGTTACATTTTGGAGACGTTGACTCATCTAAACTTTATGAACTCTGTTGAAATCTGACTACGTACCTCGGAGATCCATGTGTACTTCAATTTCACCCAATTAGGAACTGTGCAGGTACTAGTCAATGCCGTCAAAATGTATGATGTCATGGTGATTGGTGCAGGAATTTCAAGCTGGCGTTATCACCAACATTTTTTTTGCGCATTGTCACGCTTATTACGCGTTTCTCCATACTGACTTTTGTATTGTGAAAGAGCAATTTACTGATGGAAGAAAAATTGTTTCTTTCTTTAGTGTCCCTTCGATGATGTATGCCAAACTGTACGACTCCGAGTCACGGCGTTTCTGAAAATGAATCTTAAAGATTCTTGGAGAGTTCCCTTATCGTGCCTTTCACTTTTTGACCACCCTGTGTTTGTGACATGTCCGACACCACTTCCTCCTGAACCCGGCAATCAAAAACAAACTCCGATTCTTGTGCACTCAACTCTTGGATGAAATAGCCAGCCAAAAATGCTGGCACAGCTCGTTTCATTGTCGAATGAAATTGTCAATTTCTCTTTTCTCGTGCCAGTACTATGTGTGTACTGTGTGCACGGTACTTATGAATTGAAACACGATAAATGAACTTAAGACTAAATAACGAGCGTACTCTCATTTAAACTGTCTTCATTTTGGGAAAGATCCGCATAATTTTGACTCGAATGCATCAGTCAGAGCCAACATTATCTTTATGCAGACCAGAATCTATCTAGTAAAGTATTCAGTGTCACGTTTGGATCCGTAAGTACTGCAGGGCATCACTGAAGGGTATGGCGTGATATTATTGTTAACATCACAGAAAACAGCTGCCTTTTTCGGTGTCAGTTGTGGCACAGATTTTTCCAGGATGCAGACATCCTTGTATACTGACTTATACATTTGGATATTAAGATTATTGAAGAGCTTGAGGCTGAACTTCACCTAACACCTTCCACCTCAAGCACCTTGCTTTGGCACCATTCCATCTGGCATAGCCACATGTGTTTATTGGGAGGCTTTAAGCGCTATAATTTTACTGGAATTTGTTTTTTCTGGAAATGCTTTTTGCCACTCTTGCGCGCACAGTACCCGAATGAAGAGGGCCGTGCTCAGCTCCTGGATGCGTTGCTGTGGAGCCTTCCCAAGAACAACTCGGTGGACATCTCCTACTTGGCCCAGAGGACGGCCGTGAGTCAGCATCTCTTTTTTTTTTCTTTTACAGCAGCAGTTGTCGTTGGGTTTTTCTGCTCTCAACATGCCTTTCTGTTGATCTATCCACAGAATATGCCACAAAATGTGATAGTTTGGGTGAAACATCGAAAGGATTAATGCCTTAAAGGATCATTCACAGCGAAATCGTTTGTGACGTTTTTGCTGTTATTTGTAGCGTTGTCAAAATGGTTTATTGGGCAAGTATTATGTCTGGTAAGGCTGGAATTGAAGCGTAAGTGCTGTAATGTGTCGTATAATTACGCATGCATTACCCAATCAGTTAATGTGGAATGCCTCTATGACTTGTCTAGTTTTGTGACAACCATGTTTTGACAGCATCTCTGCACCAGTGAAAATTGCCCTTTTTTTGCCTTTGGCAGTGATAAGCTCTGCCTGAGGACATTTATGTGTGGGCAATTTGGCAGGGATTCAACCTGGGGGACCTGTGTGCACTGGTAGGCCAGGCCACGGCTCGGGCTCATGCAAGACTTACAAGGTTAGTACTATTTATTGTGCTTTCCATTCTACTGTGCAGCATTGCTTCGGTACGACACTTCAGTTGAGCATTTTAAAACTGTTGAGTTATTGATGAGATGACATTGCAACTTAAATGTTTCCTACCAAAGTAGGATTTTCTTGACTGATTAGCAATTGTACCTGTTTCTTTCATTTGTTTAAATACCTTTGCACTTCTATGCTTACTTGATAATTTGTATCCAATAGTAATGTACAGAAGGTCTTGGGTACTGTATCCTGATTTCTGACCTTAATACCCTCTCCTGTATGTCTTTCAAATGATAACTGTACTATGAAAAATTAATGAATATTTGATTTTATTCAATTTTGATATCCTACTCTGCATCCACCTATATGTTTACCTCATGGATATGATCTCCACACGATGAATATACAGTATACTCTTGTTAAATGAAATCTAATGCGAACAGGAAAATATGCGTAGTTTAACAAGAGTTTCATTTACTGAGATATGAACAGGGGGTATAGTATACAAGTACGAAACTAGTATGTCTTGTCAGAGGGCCTTGTTTCGTTTAAGCAGCGATTCTGTTTAAGACATTTCTGTTTACGGAGAGTGTATTCTAGTGGTAGATGCCCCAAGTTTCAAAGTCGGGGAAATGGCTATGCTCTGCCAATCTTTTTTTTTTCTTTTTTGTCTTCTCTAGCAGCAGCAGCAGTGGCAGCCAACAACGGGAAGAGGGCTGGGAAGCGGGTGTGTGCGTCGCTGGCCCCCTGCTCGTGCAGGCCGACCTGGAGTCAGCCCTGGAGTGGCTCCAGGGCAGTCAGGCGCAGGCAGTGGGGGCACCCCGCATCCCCTGCGTCCACTGGGAGGATGTGGGTGGCCTGGCTGAGGCCAAGCGCACCCTGACCGACACCCTGCAGCTGCCCCTGCGACACCCGCAGCTCCTCGACGCCGGCCTCAAGCGGTCTGGTGAGCATCGAATGTTTCGCGCGTTATCTTGGAAACGTGTGGTGACCTGTAGAGCAAGCTAAAGCGCTATGGAGGAATGCGGAATAGAAACGGGGCTGTTGCCGCCACAGAAAAATAAGAAAATGTGGTGAGGATTGAGGAGTACATGCAGGGAGAATGCATTGAGATTACCTCATAGTTATTTCCAGTTATCGTGATAGCCAACATTTGCCATTTAGACAACACTAGGTAGTTGACATTAGTTTGTCATTAGCTGAATTAATCAGTGCTGGCAACGGGCAAGTAAATACAATATAACCACAAATCTCGACATAACAAACCGAGATATAACGAAATATTGGTTATTACAAGGTAAGTAAAAAATACTCTTTCAATAAATATAGTGTTAGGAATATATATATAACAAATTTTTGGATATAACAAACTTTTTTGTGTAAGGTGTAACTTCATTTTAATGAGGTTTGAGTGTATTAATATAGGCCTCATGGGAAACATCGCGGTGTCATTTGATGGGTCATGGATGACTCGCGTTCATTCGTCGCATATCGGTCTCAGCAGCGTCATTGAATTGTTCAGCGGGCTGGTGCTTGACTTTGTTGTTTTGAGCAACTTTTGTGCTGGATGCAAGTCGGGCCCAAAGGAAGGTGACCCTTCTGATGCAGCGTGGAAGGAACATCACCAGTGTCAGAAAAACAATGACAAGAAGGCTGGAGAAATGGAGGTTGAGGCTGCCCTCATTCTCTTCAGGAGGTCACTTCAGCGGCACGACCTGCGCTACACCATGGTGCTTTGCGACGGGAACAGCCGCAGTTACCTTGCGCTACAAGAAGATAAGGTTTATGGGTATATCCTAGTGGAAAAAGAGGACTGCATTAATCATGGCCAAAAGCGTATGGGCACTGCTTTGCGCAAGTTGATTGCAAAACACAAAGGCCCTGGCCTTGAGAGTCTTGGGGCAAAGAGCCGCTTGACAGGAGACCTGATCTCCAAGCTCACCAATTATTATGGGTGGGCTCTGAAGACACACAGTGATGTTGATGCTATGCACACAGCAGTGATGGCCACTTATCATCACATCACGTCCAATGATGATGTGGCAAACCACACTCTGTGCCCACCTGGTCCGAATTCCTACTGCAAACAAAATGCGGCAAAGGCCAAGGGGGAGCCCATTCCTAAACATCGTCAAAAGCGGCCTCCACATGTCTGCCAAGCCTTACTTCCAATTTATGAGCGCTTGTCAGACAGAAAGCTGTTGCAACAATCCCAGCGAGGGAAAACCCAAAATAACAACGAATGCCTGCATTCAGTGATCTAGGAGCTGGCACCAAAAAAGCGACATGCTTCACTATTCACGGTGCAGGCAGCTGCGGCAGAAGCAGTGCTCATGTTCAATGCAGGCAATAAAAAGGCATCAGAGGACATTATGAAAAAGCTGAGCCTAAACCCAGCTGCCAAAGCCACAGCCGCATGGCTGAAAAGTATCGACGGCGCACGGCAGCATCGGTGAAGAAGCGACAAGCAACGGAGAACATGCACCAGTCCCTGAAAAAGTGCCTCACAGGGACTCATAGTCAAAAGGACTACATGCCCGGTGCATACTGAGCATATTCAAGTGCAGTTATGTAAATGAATGAGTTTTATTACTTTTTCTCAGTTTTCTGAAAACATGCTTCTTGGTGACTTTACCAGTTTGTCGGGTTGATATCTTGCAATCTAGAGCAGCCAGAGCAATAATTTTTTCATTAACGTAAAGCCCAATCTGTGTATTACAAAGTGCTGAGAGCAGAATTTCCATTTGCTGCCCATATAAATTTAGAAGGTATTGAATTTCTTTGTATGTGATAGCCATGACATGACTCCTCAACTGTCATCATCTGCAGAATCACTAGTTTTTCTTTGATTTGAAATCTTCTTGCAGCAATGCATTTATTGCTGATTGCACTGTCTAGCTATGCAATAATATGATTACGCCACACGAGCACGGTCGCTTTCATCGTCTTCGTCGTCTATGATTCTCTTTCGTTGCCGATGTCATGTAACAATATTTACTTTTTAATAAGCCCTTTCTTTTCTATTGTCTCCAAAAACAATAGAGTGGCAGCATTGTTTATCTTTTAAATTAATTGACCTACAATGATTTTTTTCGTATATTTGAAATCGGCAGGAGAAACTACATAAGCATGTATATTTTAATCATGTTTTTTTTATTATTCATCAGATACCCCGCAGCGCCCGAAGGCGTTATAGCAGGGGGGTTACATCAATAAATGACGTACATCTCCGTTCACACACACAATACAGCTTTGTTCACACATAAATAACTGAAGTACATTTGCGTTCACACTGTTTGGTCCACAAATACAGAAAATATTTCCACACACCATGTTCTTCGTAAAGCTTTACACAGCATGCTTCAGACTCCTGCACTCTTCTTCCGTTTGCGCCTCCCAGTGCCAATGCATCAAGAATGACAAATAATCTTTATCTTTTTTGGCAGTGATACGGTTCACCCATGATGCGTTGTCTATTCGTATTATACGGTACAGATCAAGAGTGCAGCCACTACAGGGACGAAAAAGGGAACGACACAAGCCCTTTCTTGGCCCTGTTGTGTTAATGCACTTTAGTCGATCGGTATGAACCAGTGCCAATTAGCTAGGCTGTCCATTTTGCTTGTCTATATCAAGCAGCAAAATTCCTTGCAAAAACTTCTACTCATCCACTGTACATATGACATATATACCCACGTATCTGATGCAGGTGTGCTTCTCTATGGTCCACCTGGTACGGGAAAGACTCTGCTCGCCAAGGCAGTCGCCACAGAGTGTGCCCTCAGCTTTCTCAGGCAAGACTGCCTTTATGGCTTTATTCGTATGTGCTGTCTCTTCATAGGGCATGGCAGGGTGGTGCAGTCGAGGTGCTGTGCCAGAATAATAAAAATTCAGTTTCTCTTTATTTTATGTGTTTTAAAATACTATGTAGGTCTTGTGAGAGGCATTGCATAAGGGGAGTAGCAATAACAAATACACGTGTTTCGAATAAGTTAGAATACATAACATCAACACGTACCACCAGGAAAAATAAAGAAAGAATATAAAAAAGTCACACAGTTGAGTAGTATGTTGTATTTACTCGCATAATCCTCGCACTTTTTTTTTTCACGGAAAACCAGTGAAAAGTTATGGGTGCAAGAATTGCGCTACGAAAATTTTCTGCGAAGACGTACAAGGTGAAAAAAAAAAAAAGCAAGAATCAAGGTGGCCACAAATCGATATTTCCACGCTGGCAACTAACTACAAGCTTTGAGAAGTACTAGTCAAGTCTTAATAAAAAGCACAGGTTTGACCCGAGGCAAGGTTTATAGTAGAGAGTTTTGGCACACCAAACGCGAAACTCACAGGAGTTCTGGCGTAGCGTTAGTGTTCGTCACTCAGCGGGAGCCGGTAAAACGTCAGGGTACGACGTCAACCTTGGGCTGATGGCCATATAAGACAGAATCATCTGCAGTTACCTTCTGACAAAATAAAGTTTTACCATCTATCTCAGTCTGAGGCACACGGAAGGCCCAGCACGTGTTGGTGGCTTTCAGCTGGCCGTGCTGTTGTTGCCAGTAGCGAACACAAAACTAATAGACTTCAAAGTGCCTGCTGTTAGCCCTGTTGCCGTTGTTTCATGCTTGATCAATCGCTTTAAACTTGAAAGCAGCCATGTAGCTTCCGTAACGCCTCATAGCGTAACCACATAATGGACACGACGTATACTAACATGGCACAATGCGCACTTGCCTTCTTGCCTTGGATTAGATTGGAGCTCCGTGTGTTGATAGTACGCACAATGCTTAAGAGGTGTTGCCAGGCTGTAGTGTGCTATCACCATCAGTGGTTGGAAAGAGCAGACGACATTACGGGTGCAATTTACGGGGGTGCGATAATTACTCCCGAAATGAAAAATTTTATTTTTATTGGGCATTGTGGGAGGTGCGAGAGTTATGCGTGTACGAGGACTAACTACGCGGGTAAATGTGGTATATTGTGAAAGGGGGTGATGCAAAAAGAGAGAATGTGTACATTGCGACATTTTGTGGCATTGATACCAGCGTTTGGCATGGAAACCAAAAAAAAATTTTAAGTTGCTGTACAAAAGCAGCACAGTTTAGTAGTGGCACCAAAAATAATATAATAAGATGCCCCCAATAATGGAAAAAGATAAGAAGATATAGCTGCAAAAAAAAAGAAATGTGTTGTGCCAATAATACCAAAGTTTCATGTCTAAGCAGGCACAGTAAGTGCTACTCATTGAGGTTTGCATAATGGTTTCTCAGGATATGACAGGAGCAGTTATAGATAGTGTGTACTTAAGTAGTATAGTATGTCTATCATAACTGGTACCTATTTCTTTTCATGACTCATTGATTCACTTACACCAGCAGAGCAGACATGTAGGTATGGAAATGTCACTTATTGATATACCATACAATAAGGTTCATATTCACTGTATATGTGGCTTTCATGTACTTAGTGTTTTTGATTGTAGATGGAGCTGCACCCATTCGCTTTGTGACCTTTGTGACATTGAACGCTCATTGCCCTAGGTCAAAACAAAACTACCCAGTGCCATATCTGGGTTGAATGAAACCATGATCGCTAGTAACGAGATCGTAGGTAGTGTCTGCACTCTCATGGAAGCATGTGCACAGCCTATGCTGAAGGAATAGACACAAGACTGTTTGTTGTAACCATGGTGCATGAAACTGGAGTTTCTTTTTAATCGTAAATAATAGGCTTGTGCGAATAGTAAATTTTAGGTTCCAAGTGAATTCAAAGCGAATAGTGATCTCGAGGAATACTTTGAAATCAAATTCAGATAGTATATGTCACCTATTGTAAAGAAAGAGGAGCATATTTGTCATGACCGAACTAACCAATAATTTAAAATTAAAACAGGTCATGTATAAATGTCTTTTTTTTTTGTTCAAAAGTGGTTAAACCAACTTTGTATAGTTACAGAATTCGACATTTGTTAGAATGGAAGTGATTACCTGTAAAATACATTGCGCTTTGAAATTTTCTAAACTTAGAACCAATGCGAGTCTGATACGTTCATGTAACCCGAAAGTGGGTTTTTGCGATATTTTTGGGTGCAGGAGGGGGCGGGTTAGGTGCATTTACAATAAATTATTTCTCCACTGCAATGAAACGACCTTCACAAAAGGTTACATGTAGTCTATTTATGTCTATTTGTTCATTTTTAATACTGTAACGTCCGCTCGAGCATTCCAAGTGCTCATATATTCACACAAGCCTAGTGAATAGCAGCCACGCAGTTATTGAGGCATTCTGCAAAAATGAAACTACTGTTTGCCGCAGCCAATGCAGATGAAACCTAGAACACTAGCTTAGCGGTACAAACAGCAGTCATTCAGATGTTGTTCGACTGATGTGTTGCCACACATGATAACACAGTCGAACTCTGCTACAACGAACGCCGCTTCAACAAAATTTCCGCTACAATGAAAAATTCACGATTCCCTGTCAGCAGTCTATGCACAAATACTGTCGCCACAACAAACACATTTTCTTCGATCGTTCCACTTCAACGAAATTTAACAATGCATTTCCAGACTAAGGTACTTAATTCTATGCAGCAAACACTATATTTAACATTTTTGATGCATTTTCAGAGCCTGCAAATGCGTCAAACACGCGTTGCCCTCACCAGAAACCGTTGCTATACCAGTGCTCTTCAGCAAGCATGGGCGCCGCCATTGCTCGATAGCGATGGCAATGAGACTGCCTTGCTTTTGCCACTGATGCTTTTGAGCCGTAGACGATCCAAAGCTGAAGCTCAGGCGCTCAGTTCATGGTTTCCTTCACGCAGCTACTGGGTGCAAACACGGAGCGATGCCTTTTCCGATTCCGATGCTTATCATTATGTTCACGCTTGGCCACTGTGTTAACTAATCAGAGCGTTGCCTCGCCTTGGTGGTCTAATGGCTAAGGTACTCGGCTGCTGACACGCAGGTCGCGGGATCGAATCTTGGCTGCGGCGGCTGCATTTTCGATGGAGGCGGAAATGTTGTAGGCACGTGTGCTCAGATTTGGGTGCACGTTAAAGAACCCTAGGTGGTCGAAATTTCCGGAGCCCTCCACTACGGCGTCTCTCATAATCGAATGGTGGTTTTGGGACGTTAAACCCCACATATCAATCAAACTAATCAGAGCGGCTGTTCATCCGCATTATCAACAAAATCAGCTGGCCGCGAGGGATGGATGATAAGAATGGCATAGATTAATGCAAAAGTCTCCGCTTCACGATACCCTGCCTCGATCTCGGCATTGTCGGATACTTTTGACGGCGGACAGTTGCTGGTGTTAACCTGTTAATGCGACTGTTTGGTTTGTTCACGAAGATGGTTTTAGGCATTGTTTCAGCATGCTTTTCACCATGGCCTCCCTATGCATGGTTGAAAATCACGTCCTGACGCTGCTGGGAAAGAATAGGAAGCAGCAGACATTTTTTGAATTTTAAAATAAACGTTCCTTTGTTTTGCTAGCTCATATGAGGTATATTCTTTTTATTTCACTACAACGAAATTTTCGCTTCAGCTAAATTTTTCCCATGACCCATCAGTTTCGTTGTGGCGGGGTTCAACTGTAAACACAAAACAAGTATGAAGCATCCTGGCTTTCACCTCGTTACTTTATGGATCCTGTGAATGATTACAGTATGCGACATTTTCACACATTCGCATTGCACATTTTCGGCACTTTGTGCACGGTGGCATTCAAGAATTGTCCAAACGAAGTAGGATGTGGCCAAGGTAATGATTTTAGTCCCATTAAATGCATATCTTTGCAAGAACCAAAGGAGATTAAGTTATCAATTTTTTACGAACAACGAAGGTTGTATCACCAATATTTCACTGTATTGACAATCAGAGAGCATAATTTATTTAGATAATGTCGGAGTGATAGCCTGAAAGAATTCAACAGCAGCGATATGTTCTCTTCTACGTTCTGTGCAGTGTCAAAGGTCCCGAGTTGATCAACATGTATGTCGGGCAGAGTGAAGAGAACGTCCGAGCTGGTAAGTAGACTCGGCTTGTAGAATTTGCGCTTTGTCAGTTTTTGCCAACTTTTACCCTATTTACTCATATAATGAATGCACTCACATAATAAACACACTCCCAACTTCAGTCATCAAAACTTGTATTTTTTTTTTTTTGCGTAATAAATGCACCCTCTACATTCATCCGCCACAGTCCCGTTAACCGACACCTGGCGCCTCCTCGCCCCTTGGATCTCTTCTGTTCTTTATTACTTTGCCGATCCTCCTTTGCCACCTCGGCTCACTCCCTCCCCCCCTTCGCCCGTTGCAGCATGCCGTATTGCTTTTCATTTTATCTGTGCGTGGCACGTCCTCTGTCTTATCTGTGCGCCACAGCGGGGTTCACCAGTGGTGCGGTGCGAGTGTAGAGACATCGCAGCTGATAAGCACACAGCGAGTGAAGGTCACCAAACTGCTCACGCCAACCAATGTCGGTCGCTTCCTGCTAATCTCTCGCCCTTTTCTTTTTTAGCCTACTTTCTTTTTTCTTCGCTCTACCTGTCTCTTCATTCTCTGTTGCCCCCTTGAGTATCGTTTGAAGTGTCCTTACATGAGAGACAGTTATCGTGCACTGCACACCCCATTTTCTTACCTTTCCACCTTTTTTTAAAGAATTAACCCCCCTTCCCCCCCAAAAAAAAACTAACCACGTGCACGCGACTTTTGATTCGAGCGACGACGACAGGATTTGCTTTCGTGAAGGGTCATTCGTCGCTATCACGTCGCAGTTTTCTGGAAAACCAGAAAAATCGCTTGTCGTCCAGAAAAGATCGTGACGATTTTCGCAACATGGTAGCACCCCCGATTCTCGCTTTGCTTGTTATTTACCTATAGAGGCACTTCTTGTGTAGAAGCGAGGTGGCTGCCGTATTTTGTCGTTAATCTTGTTGTCGACGGTTTCTTTTGGTGCTTCGGGTTAGCTTGCTGCAATGTTGGTTACTTGCTACCACGACCTCGTCGTGCTTGCACAATGTTAACGGTGTCGTCACGGTTGTCGTGCGAGGTTGCCGCGAAGTTGGCAAAGTGCGTCGTAGTGCACGCTTTTGGGCACCCCTCGAGAATATAGCAGATAGCGGTTAAACTATTGCGAAAAAAGATAGCCGCAAAATGTTTTTATGGCGTGTGCGGGGAGGCCTGGAGACAGCTTGCAGAAGGTAGTGCCATCAACAACCGTGCAAAAAAAGGCTGTTTTCAAACAGCGTTTGCATAAGTAAATTGCAAAAGGCTAAGCGACCTAACTTTTTTTTGCATTACTGCATTTTTTGCTCCTCCCGAAAAAGTTTTCATAAAATTTATCCCGCGTGATAAACGCACCCCTCAACTTTGCTCCGATTTTCTGAGAAAAAAAAGTGCGTTCATGCGAGTAAATATGGTATTTTCACACGAGAAGCACTTGGAACCAAGTAAAGTTTAATTCCAAATAGAAGTTTTCCATTACGTGTTGAAGTTCAATTTCAGTTACGAGAGGCTAAGTTATGCCTGGGGATTGAAGAAAGTGCTTTAATCACTAACAGCACAGAGCAAAGATGAATACAGAAAAACCTTGTTAAACCGTAGTTGGCCGAAGCTCGGAAAAAGTATGTACTAAACGGTAGTACTGCTCAACTGAAATAGCGTCAGGTCGCTCACTTACCTGTCAAAAAAAGAAACCTTCAGGGACTGCCATGAAAGAACAAAAAACGTGCAGTAATTTATTAACTTCGCGTGACAAAGCCTGTAATCTTCATTCGACGATGCGGCGGCCTAGCAGCAACAACAGCGGCCTTAAACTCACTTATGCTGTGAGCCAGCTTTTCCGCCAGCCCCCTCTTCTCGGCAAATACCCGCATGACGCTGACGCAATGCGCAGCTTCGGCCACTGTCGGACCTAGATCACCTGTGTTGTCGCTTTCCATGTCGTCCTCATCACTATCGTTTGGCAACACTTCGACAACCGAGGCAACAATGGCTTCGTCGGACATGTCCGGAGATGTCTGCACATCGCTGTCTGCGTCTCTGAAGTCGGGAAAGGAAATGCCTTCCGTAACGCCCTGCCGCTCCAGCACTTCAGCTAGCAGAGTTTTTCAAGCTTCGTCAACAATGTCCAAAGTCTGGTCGATGGTGTCACTGGCGTCATCTGCGTTGCCGGCACACACACTGAAGCCAGCACGCTTGAAGCAATTTTGAACTGTCGTTGCTTCAACCTGCCGCCACGAGTATTCGAGCAGGTGAATCGCGCCAATCAGGTCGATGGAGAATAATTTGCCACATTCAATGGCGAGAAGAAATCTGCGCAGATTCTTCTTGTAGAGCTGTTTTACAGCTCGAATGATGCCTTGGTCCAAGGGCTGGGCAATCGCTGTTGTGTTTGGTGGCAGGAACGCCAACTTCACAGCCGTCAGGTTGTCCAGGGTGACGTGCGCCGAAGCGTTGTCTAAAATAAACTCTTCTGTTCTTAGCCGCAAAACGACGATCGATGAGGCACACATACTCCTGAAATAGTTTTGCCGCCATCCATGCTTTGGTGTTGCTGTGATGGATGACCCCTGATGGCAACCGGGAGCCTTTGAAACATCTAGGCTTCGCCGACTTTCCAATCACAAGGAGCGGAGTTTTGTCGGTTCCAGTCATGTTTACGCAAAACGCCACTGATATTCTGTCTTTTGCATGCTTGCCGCTGGTGCACGTCTCGCCTTTGAACGCGAGGGTTTTGTCTGATAGGAGCTTAAAGAATAGCGCCGATTCATCCATATTAAAGATGTCATCAGGTGGGTAGTCTTCCAAGATGTTCCAAGATGTTGCCACTGCTCTGTGCCATCCACGTCAGCAGCAGCACCTTCTTCCGAAACAGTCCTCGAGGTAATGCCGTGCCTCGCCTTAAATCTGGCCAGCCAGCCATTGCTGCACATGAAGTTGTCATGGTTGAGCTGCGAGGCAAAAACCAGGGCCTTTTCCACGAACAGGGATCCGCTGATAGGCAGATTTTTTTACTGTGAAGCTTTTAGCCACTTCACCAGTGCCTCCTCTACATCCGAAAACGCCGAACTGCGTAGCCGGCACCTTTTCGCAGTTGCAGCAGCACTGCCGAGCAACTTCTCTCTGGAATTCCAAATTCTACTTACCGTGGTTAACGGCAGGTCCTTTTCGCGTGCCAGCGCCGATTTTTTCGTGCCACTTTCAATAGCACGAATTATGTCCAATTTCTCCTCTATTTTCAGCACTCGATGCTTTTGTCCCAGCTTCGGCATGACGCAAGTACGAAGCAGCACAACCACACATACACATCACGTGAAAAACGACGCGAGAGCTGTACGGCATGGATCAACCAGAGAACACCTATGCACGGCGCCAAAGGAACAAAGAAAGCAAAGCAAGCATACACCGTGTTTGCGTGTTTGTGCAAAGCGCCATTGCGTGGACAACATCATAAGCCTAGCTGGCCGAGTGCTTCTTGTTGCAGAAAATTCCAAGAGATAGCGCTCACCAACACAGCTGCCATCATCAGCAACACAAACAAGCGAGGAGTGTTTCAATCTTTGGGGCTTGCTGTTCTGTCGGGACGCCCAGACATGCCGCGGCGAGTGCGCAACGAAAATTGGAAAAACTACTTATTAACCGATACATACGCGATAAGCTGGTACGGCTTATGCGGATACAAAATGCATTATGTTCAATGGCCGCCGAGTCGGGGATTTGACTTCACTACTTTTAAAACGAAACTACTGCTTATGCGGGTACGGTTTAAGGAGGTTTTACTATAATGAAGAATTTTTCATAAGCTTGAATCGCTCGAACAGGTACTTCGTTTACTAATCATTCTTGAGGACAGCTTTATCATAATTTGTTTGCCAGTTAATTTTTTCGTCACCACTACTATTCAAATCAATTACCAGTGATCGACGCATTGGATAGGCAATTTGGCATGTTGAATTCATTTCTCATGCACCCAGCGCTTTCTAGTAGTTGGTCCGGCCACTTGACTTTCATAAAAAATTTGAATCTGCCCATTTTGGCAACATAGTGATTTTTGACAGATCTTAGTGCGAACTAATGTGCGTGTGTTTTCGGGAAAATGCACTTAGCTGGCGAACTTGACAGAAGTGCGTGCCCCTGGTAGTTCTTGCACAGAAACGTCAAAGTTTTGTAATCAAATGAACCATTGCTAGTCAAAGATCAAATTAAGGTGCATTCTTTGCATTCTGACAATGTTAAGCAGTAATAATTGCAAGAAATTTATGCCAGTTACTCAATAGAGAACTTTTGCGAGAGTTGTGAAAACTTCATTCTACAAAAAAAAAAAAAAATATTTGCAAAAGTCCACCCCATATATAAAGTACCCTTCTCAGCCAGTTTCCAGCAGCTTTGGTTTGGCTTGTATGGTTATACACAGGGCCGCATCTAGTGTCACTGGTCACTCCTATGGCGTCCTCACACACGCATTGGTGTGCATCAGCGCTGCAATATACAGGTGCCACTCGAAACTGTTGCAACTGTAGCTGAATTGAGTAAAGACAAGCTTAGAGTTCGAGGATGACAGGACCTCACTTCAAGTTCTATGGCAACAATGTTCTGCGTCAGCCTAAGACATCCGCAGCCGCTCACGGGTTTCGTTTGTTTTTGGCCTCAAGTTGTCTGCTCCACCGCAAGTGCGTAGCTGCTGACTTTCATGCACAATTTTGTAGCTACTCTGGTTCCATACAAGGTCCACACGTCGATAGAGAGAAGTGTGCTGGCGCCGGCTGCAGAGCTTCTCCTCAGAACAAAAAGGCCACTGGCCTTTTTGGCCCAGACTACAGAATCTTGGCTTGGACTACGGAGCAGTGCCAAACTTTTTAGAGCTGTGGGGGATACGGTCTTTTTTTAAAAAGATGTGCTAGTACGCAAAGAAGTACACTTGGATGCATATATTGCTACGCCAACCTATGCGGAGTGAGCTAGCTGGCTCATGGAAAGATGTATGCTAGACGAAACAGAAAAGTTCATTGGACATCTAATTTATA